AAAACACTGTTGCAAGGTCACTCTTTCTATGAAGTCTTTCCGGAAGCCACCCTACACAAGTACAGCAGACACAGATGCACTTCCTTTAAAAACTGCACGGGCACAATTCATGAAAATGGCTGCGCACAAAGTTTGTCCACCTGTAAAGTGATGGACAGTGAATGAATTGGAGATCAGCAGGATACTCTGATAGCTGGTTAAGGCGCACAGCACACAGCTGGGTGCTTTTGTTGCGTGGCATTTCTCTTTCTGCTCATTCCCCGTCTGCCTCAATGCTGCCGGCTACTTCACAAATGCAAAACTAAGCCTGTGCCCACCTTGACTGATAATAAAAATAACCCTCAACTGCAGCCCCAGAGGAGGCCCACAGAATACTTAACAATATGCTGAAAATCTGAAGATTCACCACACCACTGTGGACCTGGCTGTATAGGTGAATTTACCGATTCATTCCACAGGAAGATTTTCCAGGACAGGATGATTAATTGAAAAGATCTGCAGATTTCCAGAACATGAAAGAACTTTTGGGCCCTCTCTTGTTTCTACCTCATTAAAAAAAAAACAGAGGTAAGAGAGGATACAGTAGACTGCACCCTGTACTATAGTGGCCCTCTTCTTGATACACTGCCTCCGGCTCTCCTTTGCCACACAGCTCCAATCAAAAACTCTTCATATGAATTCAGGTGATCTTTTGAAATTCGATTACGATTAAGGACTTCATTATCAAGGACAACGTGGGGGAGAATTTGCATGCCCTTGCACGAGGTAGTTTCATCCGACCTGGGAGAATGAGAGAACCTGCACACACACATAATATACACACACATCTCTGATAAAGTGCGGGGATGAACTGGATAGCGGTTTGGTCAGAGGAACATTGCTCATGCTAATTAGAGGGCTAGAGGGCTATCCATCTAGTTGGAGCAGGGGAGAAAAATCTCAGCGCCAGGGGAGAACCAAGCAATGGCACTTTGTGTAGAGATTAAATAAGGTTTGCTGTGCTTTATATGTAAAATACCTACCTAGCCTGCATGCATTCTGTGAAAAGAAACTGAAGGAAAAGTTTTCTTTCAAAAAAAACCCCAACAAAACTACTTCGTTTTGAAGGATCTACTCAAAGACAGGCAATTTCGGGTCGACGTGCTGGAACAGCTTGTTTGCGCAAAAACAAGGTGAGCAAACAGTGTCTGAAGATAAAAGCAGGGGTGACTTCTATCAGCTCCCAGCGTAAGATATTATTGATTGCCGCCATGTCAAAAAATTGATAACTACGATACACAAGACCGGCCACCCACGGCTGGTACCGCATCGCTCGAAGTGACATGAAAGAAAAGGCGGGCCTGATTAAAATTCTGTGAAGACGCACTTGCACACGCTGCAATGAAGATTCAAGATATTGCGTGCCTTTGTCTGCAAAAGACAGCTCGAGGACAAATGATACCAGCGCTACCATAAAGGTCATGCAGAAAGGCTACACTGAAAGTTGAGCAATGGTACACAATTTATCTTTATCCCTCTGAGGATGGGAGAAAAATCAACAACTTCCTCGTCTCTTCTTCCAGGTAAACGTTTCATGTTTCTGTCACTTGAGCATGCCTGTTTTTTTGTTTGTTTTATAAAGAAATCTTCAGTATTGCGCGAAATATGTCAGCCTCAACAAACAGCAAACAATTCACTGTCACATTATGGACAATAAATACAATTTGTAGTAATTTTAATGTCACTGGACCCTTTAATTCATCTTGAAGGCTCACACCTTATTATCGGGAGACGAAAAAAACTTCCTTTCATATCAAGCTGCACCAGTGAAGTCAAAGTTATTTCTTTTTGGATTTAAAAGGCATAAGAACGAGATTTCTTTTAAAAACAAGCAACTCTGACTGACACGGTGTGATTATAGCGGCGAGAAAACACAACCTGGGAATATAACTCAGAGTACAGTCAGCCCTCATGTATGATAACAGCAGGGGGAGATATTAAAAACTGTGTCAGCTAAAGACGGTCTTACCACAGCAACCTTGGCCCCGAAACCCATCACGTCCCTCCAGGCGTAGCAGAGGACGTGCGGCAGGTAGAGGACAAAGTAGATGAGGCCACCGCACGCCGCTGCTAAGTTGGCCTTAGAGAAGAAGATGCTAATGAAGAAGCACTGAGAGATGGTGGCCACGCAGAACACCAGGAGGAAGACAAAGATCACAGAGGGGTCGCTGTATTGGAGGATTTTGCCGTACTGTGTGAAAAGAATTGAGTGGGAGTGGGGGGGAAATAACAGAGGAAAGTAAACATGTAATTTGATATCCAATAACAAACAGGTTTGTGGAGAATCCAGGAGGTTATCATTGCAGAATCAAGCAAGCAGGAGGATTCAGAGTGAAAGCTGTTTGACGATCCTCTGGCATATTTTTTCAGCTGACTGTATATTGTATAACATAATCTAAAAAAATCCCTAAACATGTCACTCTTTCACTCTGCCACTTTGAAGGAGGACCCTTGACTAATTTTAGAGAGCTCCTCGCAAATTAACCAGACTCCCTCAGTAAGCAGTGATGCTGATTTCTTCGTCAAAATTTAATTCAAAGAGCCACTTGAACTCTTGGGATAATGGTGCTATTGTAACGAATGCAATTACGATTCACATCTTTACAGAGGACGCCGTTTGAGGGAGTTGTACGATTGTTCATTATAGAGCTTCTACATTTAGACGGCCTACATGAACTTGTGTTAGCATCACAGTAAAATTATCTTCTTTTAGTGCTTAGGTTTCACTCCTGATTAACAACCTTCAGAAGTTCATGATGAGCAAAAAAATTTAAAAAAAACTCTCTAAAAGTAGTTGTGGGTCCTCCTCAGTGAATCATTGTTTAATCATTGTGGAATCACCTTGAGTATAAGGGTAAGGAGGAGAGAGCTGACAGCCAGCAGCAGCACACTGGAAACTGCCCAGCTCAGCCAATAGATGTCGCTTCTCAAGCCCATGATCCTCATTGTCTCCTTAAGCCTGGCTTCTTTCTCTGCGACGATACCCTTAATGATCATGGCGACAGAGTAGATCCAGGCTAAAGTCATGTATAAGGGGAGGGAGCTTCCCAGCGAACGGAGGAACCTGAAAGGTGGAGAGAAGCCAGCCCAGCCCAGATACTTAAATCTGGTGTTAAATCTGCACAGTAACTGGTGATAATATCGCACTTTTTTCATTTTCTTAAATCTGCATACTTTGTGACTTCTACGTAATAGCATTAATTCTTTGAATAATCAATTTTCCTTTCATATTATACACTATATATATACACTAATCAGGCAACTATTTTTATGTTTTGCTCATTGTGTGCAAGCAAAATGTCCTTAAAGTGTAAAAAAAATAATTTCTAAATAAGAAAAAGTCAATCTAGTCACTGCGCAAGTCAAATTCTAAGAAGTGGCTGATATAGAAAGGTCAGCGCTGGAAAGTGATAAGTTGTGAGATGTGTGGAAGGGCGGGGTCACGCGAGGGTCGCTGACAAAAATGTCATGCAAGCGTTCACCCATTTATTCTTTGAAGCTTGGACTGAATGTACTGCTCCTCATACTGCGTGTAATAACGGTCCCTTGAAGATTTCCATTACAAGCTCTTGTCATTTCCCTTTTCCAGTGAAGAGGTCACACGTGGCCTTTTGCCAGACATGACTCAACTAGATGAAGAAGGGAAACTAGATGGCTTTTTTGGCTTGTTGGGTGGATTTTTTTTTCTTTCTGAGTTTAATTAGCATCGCTTATCTGGCTGGGGGGCAGTGGAAACAACGACACTGACAATACTACAAACTGTATGCTATAAATTATCCAGGTCTATGAGAAAATCCTATACAGCTCATTTATGACCTTACCGAAAACTCTCGATGTTTTTGAAATAAGTTTAAAGTCTTATATATAGTCTTTTAAATGATGGTGATATTTAGGGTAAAACAAAGGACAAAGCAGGGTATGCTTTGCGATTGGATGTTTTGGCAACACAGGACTGCTTGCGTGTCAAAAAAACCAAGATGGCGATGGTCAAAATCTTTAAAAAGAGGTTTCAGAAATACAGTCAATAAACCAGTGGGTGACTGTGGGGCGGCTACGTTCCTTATTATATGCAGTCTGTGGACAATCTCAACTTTTAAGTCTATACAGCTAATTTTTTAGTCAATACTGGGTAATTAAAAATTGAACAATGAATGTAAAACCAACATTCAAAAACTAAATCGGTGTTGGTGCTCGAATTTAAGAATACAGGGTTTTATTCTTCTTTTTGCTGAATGCAGCTGCCTGCAGTTATAAATGACTGCATGAAAGCAGCAAGACTGCAAAGCAAACTGCAAGGCATAAAACCAAAACAATGAGCTGAAAGGGGCTAAAACAACAGCTAAAGGCAGTCCTTTTCACACTAAGTACTCATTTTTGTAGATGAAATTCATTTGTTATATTTTTTACTCCAGAACCTGAAAAAAATCACGTTAAAGTGAAAAATTGAACATTGCGAGATGTAAGTCAAAATGCTGCATTTAGTTATATTTAATGTAATAAAATAAAAAACCTTTTTTGTAGCAGTAATGTATACGTTTGGATGTTTTTCATGTTAATTGCTAGTTTATCATATAAAAGCTCTATATGTTTTTAACACAGATTTTGTATTTAAATTGCTAATCAACAAGGGAACTACATAACGGAGAATGAAATAAAAGTACTTTTAAAACATTTAAGAGTCGTGTTTCACCACTCGCACTTTAACAAGTAGTTTTACTTTTTATTTATTTTGTTGTGTGTGCCCGAGTTATTAATCAGATATCAGTGGCCTTTCCGACTGTGAAGGTGGTCTCTGACGTTGTCGTTTGCTCTCTTTTTTTCAGCTCTTCTGCACAACAAATTAATCCAGTTTTAATGACCGAGCGCAAACACACCAAAACATTTTGCAAGGTGATTTCGTGTTATGGGAACAAGAACAATACACTGCTCGGGAGAGTAAATGCGTATTGATTCGCGCTGATCGGTGTTAGTTTTAGTAGCCCAAAATCTCATCAAATAAACAACTTGATTCAGCTGATTTCAGATAAGAGCCAAGTGTGTAAATACATCCATCTGGATGCCAAACGGTAAACGCATTACTTCCTCTGTAATGAAAGAGGAAACAAGTGTAAAATGACAGAGGACTCAGGTGCAGATGACAAAACCGGTTGTTGTCACACCTAATCCAGATACAGCCTTATGATAATTACCATTTGATTTGCTATTATTATTAATGTGCTGAAAATGGCTGTGAAATTATCATTTAGAATGGGCCCGTGATCTGAATACACATCCCGCGTGCAGTTGCTCCTCCAAGGCACTCGACTAACTCAATTTATTGTTATTAATGTTTACAAATTGTTGATGGCTTGCAAACACATTAGGCTGATGGGAAATTACATTTCACCCAGCTGTTCAAATATCACTTTTTATTTACCAGCCACATTTTCCAATTAAACTGCAAAAATTGATTAGGCCAATCTTAAATAACCATCCTTTTTTATTTCATTAACTACGCCTACAAAACAAGGGGCTGTTGAAGAACACGCTCTATCTAAAGGAGACCAACAACGGCGCTGCTGCCATTGTGTGCCATCAAAGGTCCTTTTTTATGATAACACTGATTTCTTGTTATTTCTTAATTGATTTTTTCAAGCTGTGGATGGCTCACACTGATAAGCAACCAGCGAATCTACACGAGATCAATAGATGTGGAGTCAAACAACTATTTTCATTTCTCATATTTAGATATTTGCTAACAAAGAAAGACATAATCGTGCATTCCTATTGCTTCTTTACCCTCTTTGGGAATAATAGCATCTTCTTTTGTTTATGATGTGATGTTACACCTACCTGATGATTAAACTTACAATTCATTATACACCAGGAGCTCTGCAGTGCAGAGGTGCATTACTCGATTGTACTGTTGTTTTCATTTTATTGACCCAGTGTACATTACAAATGTATTAGATGGCTGGCAGAATATCAGATACAGCAAATGTTAATACTGTTAAATAATTAAACTATATAAAGCGGCCCTATCTCTGCTGTTCTTTCAAATTCTATCCGGGGAATGCAGTTTTGTTTAGTAAGCACAGGAGGCCAGCGCTTAGTATTACTTGTTCTAATTTGTCTTAGCTGTCCAGATACAGGGCTGCAAAGAATACTGTGGTCCACACTGGTGCATCAAGTATGTGTCAGGTACTACCCTCACCCTCCCCTTACAGTTAAAATTAAATGTCATGTAAAATTAGCGTGCAACATCCAAGTGGCAAAGAAAGCGTAAATATCCATTTTCTTGGCTACTGAATGATAAAAATGCACTTCTCAGATTAAAAGCAGGCCGCGATTACATCTTGAATTTTAAACACATCTTGCATGATTCTGTTGCGTGCTGATTTCATTAGCAGGAGAGGCCTAATCATCCAAGAATCATCCGTCGTGATTTGATTCTGTGCACGGCAATTGGTTCTGATTAACAACGGCGGGCTTAGCAAAACACAAAGCATAAACAATGCTGTGACCCAAACAACTTGTGACAAAGGACAGTAAGTTTACTGGATGTGTATTTTTTCTTGGTCTGACGTAGCAGCACTGTGAATTTATAGTGTTTTAATGTATCATACATCCTTACATCGTATGCTTTGTGTTTGGCTGCTTTTCACCGAGCGACTCCTTTCTACTGACCTTAACCATGACACTCATGAGCGCACAGGGAACGGCTAGCAGAGCGATGTTCTCTGTGAGCACTGAAAACCAAAGAGCGCCGTTTTGCACACCAACAGCGCGCAGTACTTCCTTGAGCCGGAGTTCCTTCTCCAGCACCAAACCCTTGATGATCATGCACACGGAGTACATGAAGGCCAGTGTCAGGAACATGGGGAGAATGCTTCCAATACTCTGAATGAAGCTGGGTACAGGAGAGAACGAGCAAAGAACATCAGAACAACTACGCTACAAGAAGACTGCACAATGGACATTCTTCACAATTGCTCATTCACGAAACGATGTCCAGATGCTTTTTTACACCATATACATTTTGTTTTATTTATTCTCCACCTACATTTTTTTCAACTTTTAACTTCTGTTACACCCTGGCTCGATACCTTTGAGGTGTTTTCATTTTTACGCTGAGCTAACCTTTTATAAACTTGGTGCATCAGCTCAATTGGGCATTTAGTGCTTCACCTCATGCCAGAGATGATGTATGATTTGATGCTGTTACAACACAATAAGGGGATATTAAACCGGCTCTATAATGCCACCAAAATGCCATGTCAATATCTTCCCCACTGCCAATATAACAAAGTGCTTCCTTTGCTTTATTAGACAGTGAAGGAGAGATATCAAATACATTCTGACAAAGTATAAACTCTACACACCGCTTGTGTTTGCATTCCATAAATATTGAGGGTGTAATGCAAGCAAAGCAGCGCTGAGCACAGATGAACGGATGAAGCACAAAGTGAACGTGCTGTGTTTGAGAGCACAGAGCTGCTTTAGAATAAATATCTCCTGCGAGTCCTGACAAGTTATTTTTAAGACTTGCCAAGTTCGAACACTTACCTCAAACAAGTAGTTCACTTAATTGCTAGTTAGCTCTGCATAAGTGCTGTTGAAGAGGTGATTTTGAATATGTTATTTCTGTCTTGCTTTCAATTTTCAAACAGCTGCTAATTGTTTTCTTAAACCTGTGTTTATTTCCTTTTTTTCTATGACGACATTTCACAAACTTGTGTAAAAGTTCTGGACACTTAATAAAAATAAGCGTTTAAACCGCGATGGAAGCTCTGCTACACGAGAGCCTGAATGACAGAGAGAGAGACACGCGCTTGCTTTTTGTGGATGCTCGCTTGCCCTCGCGGGATGGATCACTTTTCAAACGAGGTCTGGAATGCTGCAGGAAAGGATTGGTTGACACAGAGTTTCAAGAGGCTCAGACAACAGAGCAACGAAATCCAAAGTCCTATATAAGATTACATAAATAAAATCTCTTCTTTGAACCCCAAAAATTCCACTTGAGCAGATCACAGAATCAATACACTGAGCAAATTGATACATTAGCACCTTTTCTAGGGAGGTAAG